ACGGCGACCGAGATCGACGGCAAGGTGAACAGCGTCTCCATCCCGCGCGGCAGCCGCATGTGGTAGAAGGCGCACTCCAGGTCGCACGTGGAGAGGTACATGCCGTCCGCCGGGGCTTCGATAGCGCCGAAAGACGCCGCTGAAGGAAGCCTCGTAGCCGGCGGATCCAAAAACTTGCAGTTGGCGGCCCTCGTGTCGAAAATTATCCTGAGGGCCCCCGACTTCTTGGGCACAAAGAAGAGGCCGACGGTGTGTGGCTGACCGCTGTCGGCCGCGAAGGTGACCATCTGCCTCCGGTGCATCTCCATCAAAAACTGGCCGTAGGCAGTCGCGTCCCGGAACAGGTTCGGGTCGCAGTACGGCCCGCGTGGGCAGGCCGAACGTGCCAAGGCCTCGGCGGACTGCCGATCTCGAAGCATATGGCTCTGCCATCCCTCCAGCCAGGCCTTGTCATGGGGCTGCACAAGCCCGACGAGCTCGACGGGCGCAGCACCTTCAGCGGGCCATGCGACTCGGTCGCGGACGTAGGGGGACGACGAGGCGGCGCCCGAACCGTACAGGTTGGCGCAGGAGAGGAGCTCCCGAAGGGCCCCGTCTTGACCAGCACGCGTGTCACTGAACTCGGGCGGCGGCGCGCCCAGCTCCTTGACGCAACTGTCGATATGCATGATGGCCTGGCGCTGCCCCTCGTGCGATGCAGATGGAGGCGAGGACCGAGAGCCATAAAGTGAATTGAGTGCATTGGTGGCCGCTCGAACGCGATCATCATGATGAGTGCGAAGGCCGCGCCGACGAGCAGCGCGACGACCGCCTGGCTCCACCCCGCGCGGAGCAGCGGCCGGTACGACCGGCAGCGGGAAGACGTCGCGCTGGCGTCGTGTCCCCGGCGGCCGGGGGCCTGCGGCGGGAGCCGCACAGCAGTCCCGAGGGGAGGCTGGCCCATCTGCCCCCCCTCGGCTCGTCTCAGGCATCGGCGCCTGGGGTATTGCCGCCCCCACGGCCCCGTCGCCCACGGCCTCGGCCGCCGCGGCCACGGCCTCCGCGCCCCTCGGCGCCGCCAGAGCCAGCAGCGCCGGTCCCGGCGGCCAAGGCACGCTCCTCGCGAGCCTTGCGCCGCTCCTTGGCGATCGCCGCCTCGCGCGACTTCTCGGCGGCCAGCCAGTCGCGCAGCGCCGGGGCCATGCAGATGCCGCTGCCAGCGTCCTGGACGCCGGACAGCAGCGCAGCGTCGTTCCCGTGCTCGGACGTGGGCGCGAACCTGTCGCGGTACAGCTCCTCCTGGGTCTGCAGCGTGCGGCCGACCAACTCCATAGAAGCTAGATTGGTCGCATGAGTCTGATCATACACGACTCCGAACTCCAACAGCCTGCAGCACAGCAAGTGCACGTCCACCCCTGGGTCCTCGTCGTCCAGGTAGGCCTCGGCCTTCCACTTGGTGTGGCGACCGAGGGGTGTGCCGCCGTTGCGGCAGATGTAGTTCAGCACCCACAACAACGTTCTGGGGCCTTTGAGCGGCCAGTCATGCCAAGGTAACTCGTGCATCCTCATCACGGCCGACCTGAAGTCGACGTAGCGGACCCCTTGGGAGTCCAGGACGATGGCCTGCATCCGTGCGTCGCCGCCAGGGGCCGCCGCCACCGCGGCGAAAGCATTCGCCAGGGCGCCTGCCCCTATGTCGGCCCATCCGGGCGCGACGGCCGCGGCAGCGGGCGCGGCGGCCGCGGGTGCGGGGACGCCCACGGGCCCAGCGGCCAACGGAGCGCCAGCCGCGAGAGCGGCGGCCACCGGCACAAGGCCGCCTCCCGGCGCGGGCCCAGCGGGCGCTGCGGCCGGCACGAGCGCGCCCGCCGCTGCTCCAGGGGCCGGCGCTCCGACCGCAGCGGGCGCCCCCAGGGCCGCCGCGAGGCCCGCCACGCCACCAGCGGCAGGGCCGCCCGCGGCGGCAGGGGCGCCAGCAGCAGCAGGCGCGGGGGCCGGCGGCGCGATGACCCGGCCCACGGTGTTCAGGGCCACGGCCGGACCCGGGGCGAGCCCGAGAGTGCCCCGGGTGGCGGTGGCCGCGGCCGCGACGGCCGCCGGCAGAGGCAGGGCGCGGAACCGGTAGACCTGGTCCCCGCCCGTCGCCGCCGAGTTGCCTCCAGCGGCGCCTCCAGCTGGGATGCAGAACTCGGCCACGTCCGCGCCTCCATTCGCGATGATCTCGACGTAGCCGTGGCCGTCCGGGGTCAGGATCCCGCATCCGAACGGCGCGACGGGCTGGAAGGACAGGATGAGGCGCTCATGCCAGATCCTCGCCCCCCCGACCTGGTATCTGATCAAGATGAAGTCTCCCTCGTCCAGGCCGAGGAGGGCGAGGGGATGGCCCGCAGCCGCGGCGGCCGCCGCCGACATGGCCTCACTGGACCTGCAGCCGCCCGCGAACCAGAGCAGCCTGGGCCCGGGCCTCCTCCTCGAACTTGTCGATCGCCGCCAGAGCCCGCGCCGGAGCAGGAGGAGTGGACCAGCGGCCCAGCAGCGCGCCTGCGGCCAGGCCCAGCACAGCAGCCAGCACGACGGCCGACAGCGGCCAGGTCCCCACCTGGCGTGGGCAGTCCTGTCTCTGAGGCTCCAGCCCGCTGCCGCACACCAGCGAGGGCTTGCAGGTGCACGGAGGACACTCGGGCTTCGCAGCCCAGATCGCCAGGCTCGTGGTGGCGGCGCGGACAGCTTCGGTCGTGAGCCACTCGCTGAAGCTCATCGAGCAACCTTCCTCAATGCACTTGAGCACATATGTCAGCGGAAAACCGAAGGATTTGAACTGACATATCGAACGTGCGGCACTCTCACACAGGGCTCTGCATCACGTTGTTAAAACTGTCCATATATATATATATATATATATATATATATATATATGCGTATAACTAATGACACATAACACATCGTATGATAATGCGCACTGGTTGGGACCCTCGCTGGCTAGCATTCTTCCTTGGAAAAGAACTCCTGGAAGCTTTCGGTCGTCACCATGGCACGTAAGAGCGCATCCAACAGCGCGCAAAGCGAACGTAATGCATCTCCCTCGTATGGCCCCATTAGGCGCTGTAGGGCGCCATCTGTGCGCTGTTCGGTGCTACGAGGCGCCATCGGGCGCGCTATTAGACGCTATTGAATGCTACGCGCTCCTTTTGGACACGGCGCGCGCGTTCCCGAGCGCCATTCGCCGATGCATCTGCAGCGCAAGACGAGCGGAAACGTCCGCGATTTGCTGTGGTGGCATTAGATACTGGACCCTTAGATAGGGAATCCAGGGCCTGGAGGCCGGTGGAACTCCAATCGAAGCGTGGCCATGGATATCACTGCGCCCCTCATCCGATAAGGAATCCTCCAGGGTCTGCAGCCTCCTGGGCGCACTCCTTAACCAACGCCTCCACCGCACTGCCCGTGCTCTTCCCTCCCCGAGGAGCCGCCCCCCTTCTCCGCGCGGGGCTTGGAGGCCACCACGGGGCCCGGCTCGTCATAGTCGTCGTAGTCGCCGTACGGGTCGGAGGTGGCCCGCTCCTCTAAGGCGGGCTCCTCCACAGGCCCCCCACTGATGGGGTCGGAGCAGCTGGGGTCAGAGGGTCGTGCCGCACTGCCGAGGCATCGCGGCGGCGCCGGCGTGGAGAACATCGGGCTCCACACCGAGCCGCATCGCCGACTCATCGGCGGCTCGGCGCGCTCCTCCGACCCCACCCGCGCGGACCCCCCACCTGGGAGGCCCAGGTCCTCGTGCCTCGCGGCCTTGGCCCGCCACGTGGAGTGGCCGCCGTCCTGGCCTTCAGCCCTTCTCTTGGCGCCGCCCGCCGAGGAGCCGCCCGCGGAGGCACCGGCGCCCTGGCACTGACTCTTCGCCAGCTCCATGACATCGTAGAACTGCCGGTGCAGCTTGTCCACCACCGTGCACTCTGCACGCCATAAGAATGATAATAATAATGAAAATGATAGCAATAACAATAATAATCATAATGATGATAATAATGGTGGTGGTAGTAACAATATGGTGGTAGTAACAATATTGTTAATCCAAATAATACTAATGATGATAATAATCGTATCACTAACGATAGCAATAACATGATAATACGATTAATACTAATGGTAATGCTAATAACATTAACGATAATAACATTAACGATGGTAATAGTACTCATTAGTCGCGTTAAAGTGATAATCATAACGAAAAACATACGAATTGTTACAATTTCAATATAACGAATGAAAGGACAAATAATAATAATTGTACTGGTCATAACAGTAATGACGATCGTTGTAATAATAGAACGGGGGAAAATGGTGGCAAACAGCAGAAGCATAAGCTTTCGGAGGTCCGCGCGGGTTTCTTCGATGGGCGCTGGACCCCCTCCCCGGCGCGCTCCAGCGCCGCAGGGGGGCCCAGCGCCGATTCAAGAGATCCGCGAGGAACTCCGAGAAGCTGTGTCAGTGTCGGGAGCGGCCAAGAGAGGGGTGTCCAAGAGGGAGGGGGTGCAAATCCTGACCGGCGGCATGTGCGCGGCCCGTGGGGGGGGCGAACGGCGCAATGAAATAAGAAGAGGCGCCACGAAATCTGGGGAAATATCATGGCCCCCGCCATGATATCCACCCCCCCTAGTCATCACCCCCCTCTTTGCCGCCCCCGACAGTGCATGTTTGTTTGGTTCTTCGTGTCATGGGGCATGCAAGAAGGCTCCGCTGTTGTCTGGCAAGGTTTCGCAAGACGCCCCATGGAAACTCCAACCTTTGCCGTATAACCTCCCCGGGAATCCGAGCGCTGCAGCTTTTTCACCGGGCACTTCTGCCTGGGTTCGTTCTCTGGGACCACCAGATCGATCCGGCTCCAAAATGCCGCAGAGGGTTTGGGCCTGGGGCTCCAATGGTCACCTGAATCGCAATGTCGCCATGGATTCGCCACCTCGGATCCTGGGGTCCTTCACGCTGCGCTGCTGCGCAGGCGCAGTGGCGGTTTTGCCGCAGGCGGCCAGCTAGCTTCGAAGCCCCGCCCACAGATCCTCGAGCCCGTCCGGGTCTGCGAGAGACAGGGCGATGACGCAGGCCAGCATGGTGGAGCGCTTCCCGCTGGTGCCGACCGCCCTCAGCTCTTTGTGTTCCCGGAGCCGCACAATGCATATCTCGTCCTTGCCGAGCCCCAGCTTGCGGCATGCCGACATGATGTCCGAGTCGTTGCAGTACTCGTACAGGGAGTCGGCCCTCCCAGTCCCGTCGGACGTCGCTTGTATCATCCACGCGGCGTTCTCTTCGAAATCGGAGGCCTTGTTCAGGCAGACCACCGGGACGTTTCTGCACACGACGTCCACCTCAACCCCGTGCATGCCTGGGGAGACCAGAAGCACCGCTATTGCTACTTCCCTGACCAGGGGCGCGTGCTGACCAAGAGCTCGAGGCGACGCCAGCGGTGAGGACGAGGGCCGGCCAGGACGCCCCAAAAAGGGGAACACGAGCGAAGGGGGGAGGCATGGGCAGTTACCTTCTCCTCCTCCTCCTCCCTCCTCCTCCTCCTCCTCCCCCTCCTCCTCCTCCTCCAGTCTTTCCTCTGAGAATCGGGGTAAGATGTCAAAGGAATCAAGGTCTCATGTTGACTCTGCTCAGTGGTAGAGGATGTGGAATGAGACATGGACGAAACAGCACAATGTATCCGATAAGCTAATGCACCCAAGTATAGGAAGGGAGATGGTCCGGCCGGCCGACGACCGACAACGAGCGCGGACGAAGGCCAGCTCGCACCTTTTCTCGCTTGAGCACTAGATAGCTGCGGAATAGTACCGCAGTAAAAGTACAGACAGTGTACAACAAGGCAGGCAGCAAGAGAAGCAAGTGCAAGATGAGGCGGAGAGGAGCATATTTACTCCCCCCGCGGCGGGTTTCGTAGAGCCCAACCAGCCACAGCCCACCCGGCCTGTACATATTATACAGCCACCAGAGCGAACCCCAAAAACGTTTCACCGCTCAACGGTGGTGCCAGGGGTCTGAGGGCCGGAGAAAACTCGACGAATCCCACCAATAGATAAATAACTTCTCTGCCGAAACGACTTTGTCGCTCGGCCTCGCCCGTGGCGACTTTGTCGCCCGGGCCTTGCCTGCTCTCACTTCGTGTGCTAGAGGTATCGTCCTGCAGGCGGAGACGGTGATCCCGGATGCGAAGATGACGAACCTCCGGCCTGGTCAGTCAACCAAGAGGGCGAGGCTGACCGGCCTCCTCTACTGCGGCCAGCGTAGGGGGCTGGCCTGTTGTACTTGTCCTTGTCCTTGTTCTTGGAATACCCCTTGCCATACGATCTCCGAAAGTGGTACTCGTAGTCGTCGGGAAGCACAAAATGCCAGGTCCGACTCTCATTGTCGACACGGGACATCCAGCGAATTGCAGTCTGATGAATCCAGTATCCCTGCAACTCGTCGCCCCAGTAGCGCGGGCACTGGATGTTGGGGTTCCAGTCGCCAGCCGCGCGCCCAGCGGCCATGTCCCCGCCGCGCGCGCGCGGGCCTAGACCAATCCCATGTGTCCCTGTCGGAAGAATACCGTGAATACTCCTCTCCTGCCGCGCCGGTTTGACCGCCGGCAGAGTGAGGAGATTCAGCGACGTCGTCATTGGCCCGAACGTCTTGGACGTCGGGTCCACGGACGTCTTGGACGTCGGGTCTACGGGGAGGAGGAGGCGGATCGGGGCGACCAGCTGAGCTGGCTGGGCCTCGCTTTCGCCAAAGGAATCCCCCCCCGTAACGGCTTGGCCGTCGGAGGGCCCATCAGCGCCTCCCCTTTCACGAGCATTCGTCACTCGTGGTTTTTGCTAGCATGTCTAATAACCCCCCTCGCGGCAGTAGCAACACAAGTACCAAATTTGCCACGGGCAGTGCGAGAGGGGCCTTCATCTGCATCTTGGAGCTCAGTGGCTTCCACGCATGGAAATAACCAGTCGGTAGCTCCTTGCAGGGCCATGCCCTGACGACGGATATCGGCGCGACCCTGCCTGCCCAAGTTGCGGGCCCATTCTTCAATGAGGTCATCTGTCTCGACCGCCGCACGAATGCGGTAATGAAGCGCGCATGCATCCGTCTGGCGCTTTTCATCATCGCAATCTACCCCTGTGCCGCGGGCAAGAAATCTCGGAGAAGGGTATGCAATTTAATATCCCTCGGCAATGAAACACCTAATGAACTCGCGAACAATCACAATCACGCGAATGATGCGGAGACCCAATTCAACTTCTTGTACATGAATGTTCCAATTCCATTCAATGGTCTCCCGCACGTCTTCCGGAACATCATGCGTAACTTCACCCGACAATTGTAGCCTTTCAGTCTCGTTTGTGTCCGGGCGATAGCTGGTGTACTCCATGACATACTGAGCCGCCACAACAATGGCTCCAGTCTCGGTCAACGCGATGCTCAACGATTTGTCGTCGCGACGGGAGTACACTACTCCATTGGGCTGATCGAAGTCGATCCCCCCGTCGAGCATCCGCTGGGTCTTGGATCCGCAGACAGCGGTAAAATCAAGGGTCATACCAACGTTTCTCTCATCATCTGCCGTCGCGGTTTTACCGGCGGCTGGTTTAACCGCATCGAAAGGGTGTTTAGAACACATTTTATTGCGACGAGGAGGACGTGCCACGAACGTGTTTGCCCAAGCAACCGGTGGACGTCCACGAGGGCTGGGCCCTGTGGCGTCCATGGCGGTGCCCTGGTCGACGGGCAGCCAGGGTGCTGCTCCCGTTTTGGCGTCGCGCAATGTCCGAAGAGTTGGCACAAAAGTGTTCTTCGCTTGCATGCTGAGTTCCCATCGAATCCAACCTTCAACGGGTTCGACGTATTCGTCAGACGCCTCTGGCCAGTCGAAGGCAGCCAGAGCGAGACAAGACATGGGACGCGCGTACTGGTCAGTTTCTGTCGCCCACAATAAGAGCCACCGCTCAGAGATCGGCGGGGACGGAACATTCTCTCTTAGCCAAATGTGCGAGCCATTTTATGAACCGCCTCTTCAGAGGCTCAAGATACTGAAAGAAGGGACCGTGGCGCGCCGGCTGCTGGGCCGCGACGTGCTGAGGAATCCAGGCAGGAACACTACCCGGACGGCTATTTCCAAAGGTTTGACCTGAGGCAGCCAAAATAAGATACTGATCATGTGTCGCCCACTTGCACTCCAGCTTCAAATTGTTCCGCATGTTATTCATTACGTCAGCCGAAGCTCTCCGTTGTCGTTTTATTCGTTCGCCAACATAACGATCACGCTCATAGGGCAGCGTCTCAAGATCGACAACATGCTACAAATACCATTTTTCCAGAGCGAATTGCGAATGGTCTTGAATCTGTATGACTGGAGCAAATAATCGTGGGCAACCATGTACTTGCACTTTACTGGATTATTGCAAGAGGGGCAACGGCCAAAGCCAGTTCGCACCCAACGCAATCCAGCACAGAGAAATCGACCGTCGTCCCCCCAGGGAACGGACTGAATACATTCGTCCGCCCTTTGGGGCAACGTACGTCTATACTCTGGAAGCAACGTCAAAGTCTCGTCAGTGTGAATCCAACCGAGCATCACGGGGTTATCAAAATTTACGTCGTATGAGGTGCACTCCTGATTAAAGACAATTGACCTAGATATTCGCTTTTCGCGTTGATCTCACCAGTTGCTAATTTTGGCAAGAGTGACGGCTTTGCCGATGTCAGTGAACCTCGGCACCTCGCGGGACACAAGAGTCCCGTCCTGGCACACTCGGTGCGAAAAGCGGGTGAGCACACGGCCGTTGAAAACGATTACTAATGGCCAGGAATCTCGGCGAGTGGGGAGCTGGTCCCACAGACCGACTGTGTCCGCTGCGGGCCAAGCTCCAATCGATGAAGACGCTCCTGACTGAGGTTCGTTGCCCGTGGCAATGTGCTTCTTCACAGGAGCAGGCTCTCCCTCCCTTCGCTGGCTTAGCCAGGAGGGGAAATGGTCTGGGCTTTGCATGCTCGGATCCTTCTTGGTCGGAAGAAGTCTTAGCAATTCGTAATCCGCCTCGAGGCAAAGCCCAGAGGCGCTTTTAGGGAACTGAACTTCTCCGACCATGGATTCCACTAACGTATCCACACCTGTGATATGGAGGAGGGGCCCATGAAACCTGGCTAGGCCAGGGTCATAGGGCACATGCATCCTCTCAATTGAAGCAACAAAAAGTGGAATGTCCCTGGCACGCTCGATAGAAAACAGGAATGGGGCATTTAGTCCTCTCTACTCCTTGAGTGGGCCATGCTTTGAAGTCATGCCACAATTTGTAAATGACCGCTTCCTTGATGCTGGCATCGACTTCAGGGAGCACACCAAGGACTTCCACCGTCCCCGGCTGCAACGCGGCTAGGCCGTGTGCAGCAAGTGCGTATGTTTGGTAGCTAAAACCATCCTCGTCGATCTTCTTTACCAGGTCTCCAAAGTAGACCGAGCCTCCCGAGGGCCTCGCATAATCAGAACAATGTCTTGCGAGATACGTCGCGAAATCACCAATGCGCTTAGCAAACTCATCTACTCGACAACTCAGGGGTCGCCAAAAGCCCGTACAGCCTAGGGCTGCCGGATTCTCTGGGTCAGTGACCCCCACAACTAATGGGGTCAATGCCTTAAATGACTGGGAACATCCTCAGAGTAGTATTCAGCGCGGAGAAAATCTCGCACCTGCTCAAGAATGCCCATGTCTGTGGGAAGCTCGCTATACAGTGCAAAGATGGGACCTTCAACGACATCCGCAACGTGTTTGAGCGCACTAAGCGTCTGGTTGCGAAGGGCCTCTACCCGAGGGGCTACGGGACCAGTTGCGTGGGCCTCTCGAACCCCTCGCTTCAGGTCAATGGGCATTTGATAAATAATTCTAGTACGTTCTTCCATCGAAAGATAAAGCTCTTTGCCCTTAAAATGGCCCGCGTGCCCGACATTGATCACCTGATCACCCTCTCGGGGCAAACCGTCCGTCGGTTTTCGCTGCCGCTTATCAGGGGACGGTGGCATCCTTGCTCTGCGGAAGAAGTTGGCAGAGGCTGCACCAGATCGATAATGCTCCTCCTCAATAGTAATAAGTTCAGGATCTCCTTCGTACGGGAAGTCATTGAGATGAGTAAGATCTGGGCTGGCCTCAAGGGATCCCGGTGTGTCTGGGACACCCGGGGCTCTGTCCACTGAGGAAGACTCCGCCGCATTAAGCCCACTCGAAGCAACGGCTGGCGGTGGTGCCTTTGCAACACAGCCCGCAGGTATATCAGACAGCAAGTGCACACGCGAGCGCATGCAACCAAGGCGTCGCCAAGATGCCCCCCAAAAGCCCCCCCCCAGACCCAAGACGAGCCCAAATGTTCGGACATGTGTCGAATATTATCCCGAACAACCTCTGGCTTCCAGATCTGCGTGTTAATTTCCCCATGCGGGCCCGACGTGACTCGCCCTGCGAGCTCAACAACTCGCAGTGGAGTCAACTGGCAGTAGCTCTCGTCTCGTTTTTCATTTGTTGTTGGCTGCTTCTTTCCGTTTGGGAAGGGGGTACACCAACAATGTCATGCACTCTTCGGTCGGACGTGAACGTCATATAAGATGAATACCACGCACACTACAAGAAGTTATAATAACACCGGTAAGGAACATACTACTACTACTACTACTACTACTACTACTACTACTACTACTACTACTACTACTACTACTACTACTACTACTACTACTACTACTACTACTACTACTACTACTACTACTACTACTACTACTACTACTACTACTACTACTACTACTACTACTACTACTACTACTACTACTACTACTACTACTACTACTACTACTACTACTACTACTACTACTACTACTACTACTACTACGACTACTACTACTACTACTACTACTACGACGACGACGACGACGACGACGACGACGACGACGACGACGACTACTACTACTACTACTACTACTATTACTACTACTACTACTACGACGACGACGACGACGACTACTACTACTACTACTACTACTACTACTACTACGACTACGACTACGACGACTACTACTACGACTACGACTACGACTACGACTACTACTACTACTACTACTACTACTACTACTACTACTACTACTACTACTACTACTACTACTACTACTACTACTACTACTACTACTACTGCGACTACGACTACGACTACTACTACTACTACTACTACTACTACTACTACTACTACTACTACTACTACGACTACTACTACTACTACTACTACTACTACTACTACTACTACTACGACTACTACTACTACTACTACTACTACTACTACTACTACTACTACTACTACTACTACTACTACTACTACTACTACTACGACTACGACTACTACTACTACTACTACTACTACTACTACTACTACTACTACTACTACTACTACTACTACTACTACTACTACTGCTGCTACTACTACTGCTGCTACTACTACTGCTACTAACACTAAGACGAATCATGCCATTACTAATCATACACGCAAGACACGCAGCAAACACAATACGGAGGGGCATGCTTTTCTGGAGTGGTGCCGAGCACAGAGGAAAGGTACCAGCTGCTGGCCTCTCGCTCCTCTTGTGACACCTCGTGGCGCTCTTCTCGGCTCTGTGGCTGGTGGCCCGTGGCTCTGCTGCCCCCTCTCGGTGGCGCCTGGCCTCTCGTGGCCCCGGCTGGGATGCGGCGGCGGCACGCCGTGAAGGAGGAGCAGGAGGAGGAGGAGCAGGAGGAGGAGGAGAAGGAGGAGGATGAGGAGCAGGATGAGGAGCAGGAAGGAGCAGGAGCAGGAGGAGGAGCAGGAGGAGGAGATGGATGAGGAGGAGGAGGAGGAGGAGGAGGAGGAGGAGGAGGCCTAGGACGCGACAGGCTAGTTCCTCACGTCAATCCAACGTGGCCCGTGGCCCCGTGCCTCGGGGCGGCTCGCGGGCTTCGCGCCTCCGACCCCGGTCGTGGCCACAGCGGGGTCTCGGCGCTGCGCGGCTGCTCGGCGAGACGCAGCCCTCAGCCTTTCTCTCCCTCCGGGCGCCGCTGCATGCGGCGTTGCCCGCCCCGGCGCCCGCCGCGGGTCCAGCCCCGCACGTCTGCTGTGACCGCTGGTCAGGCCCCTCCGCCGGCGGCGCGGCGTCTCCGCCAGCGGCCGCCGCCAGGGCAGCTGCCGTGGCCTTCCCCTCCCCCTCCCCCTCCCCTGCTTGGGCTCAGCTCCCGGGGCCGCCGCATGAGAGGCCTGCTAGTTGGGGTCCGAGTAGATGGGGTCGGAGGATTGCACCGCATCGGCGATGCATTGGCGATGCATCGGTGATGCATCGGCGACGTCGGCGTGAAGGGAATCGAGTTCCACGTCGAGCCGCATCGCCGATGCATCGGCGATGCGGCGCGATTCTCCGACCGCATCTACTCGGACCCTGCCTGAGAGGCCTAGACCCATGGTCCCCCCTCCCCAGCAGGGCAGGCAGGAGGAGGCGAGCAGGAGTAGGACGACCGGGAGAGGGAGGAGCCTTGTCGGCGTCGGCCACCGCGTGGGCTGGTGCAAAGTGCGCGTCGGTGGGGAAGGCGTCGACCCTGACAACGTTCTGGGCCACGGGCCAGCCGCAGACGCCCAGCGTCTCGTGAGGCTGCAGCCAGCCGTCGCGGCCCTCGAGCTGGAAAACCACATCGCCCGCAGACACGCCAGTGACCCTGCACCACGCACTCATCAACCTGCCGAACTTGTTGGTGCGAGTCATCGTGAACTCCCTCTTGCTATCCTTTTCCGCCCCGTCGCTGCCGGTGCCGACCGCGAACACCTGGGCACTGGCCAAAACTCATGCCGACCTGCATCAAATTGGAAATGCCGTGGTCGGCGTTTTATAGGAGCGCGCTATTTCTGGCCAGATGACGGAAAGCGCGCGTAGCGTCGCGATCCGTTAGTCGGGAGAAATATCCAGGGGGGTGTGGGTGGGTAGGTAGCCTGGGCGTCAGATCGAGCCGCCCCAAGAAGACGGCCCAAGAGCGCTCCAAGAGGGCCCAATATGGCTTCAAGACAGCCCAAGAAGCCCCCAAGACGCCCCAAGCGGCCCCAACAGGACCGCCAAGAGGCAAACATCGCACCATTCCCTTGGAAAAACATAATGTTTAGCATTTCCGCTTCTTTGGTCTTCACAGCGTCCAGAACAGCCCAGGGAGCCCCCAAGACCGCACCAAAACGGCCCCAGAGGGCCCCCAACACGGCCCAAGTGGGCGTCAAGACGGCCCGAGAGAGCCGAAGACGGCCCAAGAGAGGCCCCTCGAAAGCCCCAAGAGGGCCGCAGGAGCCCCAAGACTGCCCAAGCCTGCCAAGACGGCCTAATAAGGTCCCGGGACGGCCCAAAAGGACCCCAAAACTGCCAAAGAGAGCCTCAAAAGGACCCCCGGGAAGGCCTGGAAATGCAATATCAATTTATGTTCGCAGGGTTAGTTGATCGATTTTTGCATGTCGCACCGAAGAGTTAACAGCAAGGCCCCAATGCACTAAGCCAACGAACTCGCGCCCTCACACAATAAACGCGCTTTCAGTCCTCATGCCAAGTACGTGACGGAAAGTGCGCGTAGCGTGCGATCCGTTAGTCGGAAGAAATGAAATTAGGGGGAGTTCGAGGGGGGTGGCATCTGGACGGGCAGAGATCTAATCGCCCCAATGGTCCGTTCCCCTCGTATTTTCTTAGAATGAAGCGGCTCCCTGGCGGCTCCCATGGTCTGTTTCTTAAAAAAATCGGGTGAACCGGCAAGAGGGCTCCAGGAACGGCCCACGAGGGCCCCGGAACGGCTTCAAAAGGCCCCGAAACGGCCTCAGGAGAGCTCCAGATGACCTCCAGACGGTCCAAGAGAATCTCGAGACGGCCCCAGAGGCTCTCAGGAGGGCCCTGAGGGCCTCAGGAAGCCCAAAACATTGATTTCCCTAATGTTTTTGTCTGTTTTTCTGGGTTCTCCCCTTTTCAACAGGCCCCAGACGGCCCAAGAGGCCCCGAATATCGTCCCAAGACGGCCCCAGAGGCGCCCCGAAGGGGCCCAAAACGGTCCAAGAGAGCCCCCCAGACAGGCCCAAGACGGCCCCATACGGCCCCAAGAGAGCTCCAACCAAGCGGGCCTGAAGAGGCGGCAAGGGGTCTGGGCTGCTTGGGCGCAAGGATTGGGCTGGCCCAAAGACGGCCCAAGAGTCCCGAAACGGTCCAGGAGGGCCCTCGATAGGTCAGAACGGGAGCGCCGGAATTTTCTGAGCCGAAGCCCGGAACCCAGAGCGAAGCGAAACCCAGATTCGGCCCAGCCGAAACCCGGAACCAGGAACCGAAACCCATAATCTCCGAGGAGCAACACCCAGAAACGCTGGCAGGCGAAACCCGAAACAATCAGAGAAGCGAATACCAGGAATCCTGAAACCTGAACCCCCTCGAATCCGAACCCTCCTGAAAGCCTGCGGGACACCCGAACGCGCATCGGAGCAACGCCCCGTCCATTCTTTGGGCTACTGGGGTCCGTCGATTGAAGAAGCACGCCGCCCGATCTCTACGCGCGCGCGTCGTGCTTCCAAAACGCCCTTCGTTTACGGCGGGGAGTCGTGCGACGGCAAAAATCGCGAATGAGCAGATGCCCAACGCCGAAACAAGAAGACGCACTAAGATCCAGAATGGCAGCAGATCCCGAGATGACCGGCGCAAGACGAAGAATAAGCAACAAGCGCTAAGACTTCTTGCGCTGCCAAGAGCGACCACGGTTTGCAACTCCCACCATTTCCTCACGATAACACCATTTGCTCATCTCTTCCTCCAAAACGTACCCCCCCAAGGCCATCCCGAACCAGAGGGCCCCCATTGCCCAAGGGCATAGTTGGCGACCGACCCCCCCCTAATCCCAACCCCCTGTAGCAGTGCCTGAAAACCCTTCAGCAACCTTTCTAATCTCCGCCAGCTCCACCTCCGTCATCGGCCAACCTTCCTGTTTCCCCGCCCCCCTCTATCCCGACGCCGTTCCCACTTTCGCGCCCCCCTCGCATGACTGCCAAAACCACGCCCAAACTTCATTTTCAAACAGACGCGCCCGCCAGCAAGCGCGGGCGCCGAAAGCGGCGACGACGACGACGGCGACGGGGACGAGGACGACGACGACGAGGACATCGGGAAACAGCAAAAACAACGACAACGACGGCGACAACGACGCCCGACAACCTGAGCTAACAGAAGGACGACATTTGACGAGGTGCGACGACGACGCAAGCCCCCCTTATTCTAACATGGCCATACCACCGGACACAACGCAAAACCACTCCGATACTTAATTTAAAAACAGACGAGCCCGTCCCCCCCTGCGCGGGCGCTGACGCCCGCATCGACGACCGCGTCAGCGACGACGACGACGAAGGCGACAAGGACGACGACGACGACGACGACAACAGCGACAACGACAATGACGGCGACAATAACAACCGTCGACTGGCGACCGACCGAAACTGAACGACCATGCACACCAATGACAACAAAATCCGCCCTCATTTTGCCACCCCCATGCCTCGGGTCGAAAACCAAAGCCACGCTGAGATCTCAACTTTGAAGCAGACGCGCCCGTCCGCGAACAAAGCCAATGACCTGACGACGGCGACGGCGACGTCGGCGACGACGAGGACGACGCGAACAAACGACGACGACAACAACGAAGGCAGCGATGGCAACCGACGGCTCGCGACCCCCGAATAACAAACATCCCCGACGACGACGACAACGACGCAAGCCGCCCCAATTAGTTCTAACCCTCGCGCCTCGAGTTCATTTGCAAAGCCAGCTCATGATTTCACTTCCACGGTGAACGCGCCCGTCCGCGAGTAGAGCGCTGACGACGAGAGCGACGACGACGACGACGACGACGACATGGGCGGAAGCTACAACAACAATGACGACGACGCAGACAACGAGAACAACCGACGACTGGCGACCAAGAGAAGGCAAACGAACATCGACGACGACCCCGACGCAATCCGACCTAATTTTGCCATCGCCGTGCCTCGGGCTGACAACCCAAACCGCTCCGATATTTCAATTCTAAGGCAGACGCGCCCGTCCGCGAATGCAGCTGATGACGCGACGACGGCGGTGGCGACGTCGACGACGAATCAGATAACGCGAACAACGGACAATCACGACAACAAACGCAACGTCGACAACCGACGGGTCGCGGCCCACGGAAAACAAACGACCATCGACGACGACAACAACGACGCAAGCCGCCCCAATTTGTTCACATCGTCGTGCTTCGGGCCTTACCAGAAACAATCCGTGAGTTCAAATCCACAGTGAACGCACCCGTCCGCGAGTAGGGCGCCGACGACGACAGAGACGACGGCGATAAGGACGACGGCTACAACAACAAAAAAAAACAACAACAACAACAACAACAACAACAACAACAACAACAACAACAACAACAACAACGCAGACAATGACAACAACACCAACAACCAACGACTCAGGATCAAATGAGGGCAAACGATCATCGACGACAGCCCCGACGCAATCCGACCTAATTTTGGCATCACCGTGCCTCTAGCTGGAAACCAAAACCACTCGAGATTTCAATTGTAGGGCATGCGCGCCCGCCCGCCGATCAAAACGCAGACGACAACGCCAATTTGAAACCGCCTATCTTTCGCGATGGAGGCCATTTGTATGTTCGCCGTGGTATTGTTTCCCACTCGACCCCGTCCTCGTCGTCCTCTCCTCCGCGATCGTGCTACACGAGCTCGTCGTCCTCCTCCTCCCCCTTCTCCTCCTCTTCCTCCTCCTTCTCCGACGCCGCCTCCTCCCCCTCCTTTTCCTTCTCCGCCTCCCACTCCTCCAGTTCCTCGTCGCCACCTCGCAATCCTTCTCTTTCTCCGCCCCCCTCTATCCCAACGCCGCTCCCACGTTCGCGTCCTCCTCGCATCCATTCGCGTGGCCACGCGCCAAAATACTTTCAAACCCACTCCTGGCAGAGAGCCCAAGATTGCTGCGAGATATTTCGAAGACGGCCCAAGATGCACCCAAGACGGCCCGCGACGGCGTCATGACAGCACAAGAGGCCTTCAAGAGGCCTCTAAGACGGCCCAAGACGTCTCCAAGAGTTCCCAAGAGGCCCGAAGGACGCCCAAAAGGCCCCCCAAGAGGCCCCAAGAGCACTCCAACATCACCCCCAAGAGGGGTTCATGATGCCCAAATTGTCAGTATTCCGAAAGTTTTTGACGGATTTTGACATGCTCGCCTTTGCGGGTGTCTGACGCTCCAAGACGGCCCAAGAGGCCTCAAAGATCGCACCAAGACGGCCAAAGAAGCTCCCAAGAGCGCCACAAAACTGCCCAAGGAGCCCCAAGGCTACTCAAGAGGGCCCCAAGACGGCCCAAGAGGGCTCCAGGACTACCTCGGAGGCACCCAAGGCGCTCCAAGAGGGCCCCAAGACGGCCCCAACAAAAGCCCCAGAGAGGGAACCCGACCCAACGCTTCGAGTCTTCCGGCGCAAGAGGCTCCCAAGAAAGCCCGCGAGGCCTCTCAGAGGCCCCCCAGGAGGCCTCAGGGGGACCCCAATCGGCCCCACTCCTCCTCCTCCCACCTCCTCTCTCCTCCTCCTCCCGCTCCCTCCTCCTCCTCCTCCACCTCCTCCTCCTCCTCCTCCTCCTCCTCCTCCTCCTCCTCTTCCTCCTGGGCAGTCTTGGAAGCCTCTTGGGGGCTGCTTAGGCCGTCTTGGGCCATCGCGAGGCAATCCCTCCCTCTGCCTCCCTCCGCCTCATCCTCTACCTACTCTTCCACCT